AGGCAATATTTTTCTATTAAGTAGAGAAGTTCTACCTAGTATTTTGCCATCATAGCATTAACTGCTCTGGAAAACACAAGCATATATTACAGGCTATTATGACAACTTGTATCCAGACTCTTGGGGACAAAAAAAGCCCTAACCCACACAAACAAAAACACCAGTACAAAATGTAACCCTTTAAAAATCTGACTTGAACTTTTTACCTTTCTTCATACTCCAGTTCTCCATTGGTTATGTCACAGAAATATTTTCCTTGCAAGACATCAGGCTCAAATTTCTAGGCTTTCCCTCAAATTCTCTAAACCTCCAGTTCATATCACAGAATAAAAAAGGAGAAACTTTCATGCATTCTGAGCATCTGCCTCACTAAAAAAAAAATAAACTAAGAAATGACAGTGCTGTCTGCCAATTTCTGCTCTACATACAGGAATTTATTTTACCCTGTGATCAGAAAGAACAAGTGGATGATGCACTCTACAGACAGCTCAGAGTAGCCTCACATTAGCATACCCTATCCTGATGGGGAACTTCAACCACTCAAATATCTGCTGCAGGAAAAACACAGCAGAGCATAGGCAATCCAGCCAGTTTCTAGAGAGCATTGATAAGAATTTGCCAACCCAAGACCCAGACTTGATTAGGAAAGCCATAGTCCACCTGGAGGTGAATCTAGCAAAGGCAACAAGAAGTCTTTATAGCTATGTAGGTGACAGAAGACAGGCTTGGGAAAATAGAGCCTGCTGCTGAATGGAGCACAGGACATGGAAAAAGGCCGAGATACTGAATGTCCTCTTTGACTCAGACCTCTGTGAAACCATTAAATTTAGAACTGTTAATCTTCATTTACAATAAATATAAAAGTATAATAAAGGACAGCATAACCTTAATTTGCCTTAATCTAAACTAGCTCAGGGCATGAGTCAGATAAACTATTGACCTGTGTTCCATTTGCCAACCCAAACATCTATCAAGTAAGATTAAACATACCTAAGTAAAACAAATCATTCAATACACCAAAGAAGGATCAACATAATGACATTTGGAATTACTTTTCCAAGCTGAAAATAAGAACAGAAATTACTCATCCTCCATAATGTTTTGGCTACTTCACATCTGCTGGAGGGGGCATCCCTGCTACAGTATGCCCTTAGCCTCACGTTATCTCTTTCATTTCTTGGAGGGAATGATGTGATAAAGCAGGGCATCATACAGAAGGAAACCTGGGGAGAATGACCTCAGGAAGGAAATGACACACCTCACCTGCAGTTCCAAACAGTTTAGAATTAGCATATCTCAAATGTAGGACTAAAATGCCAATATTTTTTAAAGTACATAGTTTTCAACAACAACAGTGATATCAATAGCATCACACTTCTGTAGTACATAAGCAAATGTCAGCCCAGAGGCCAGTGGGGAGACACAAAGGGTAGAGCATGTATGGTTTCATTTCCATTGCAATCTTATAGTAGCCAAGCACTCTCACCAAGGTGCTCAGCAAGGCTGTGTTCTTATCCTGAAGGGACTACTCGGCTAACAGATTTAGGGGAGATTTAATTTTTCCCCAGCTTCCCCCACCATTACTCACCTGACCTACAAGTAGCCTCCATAAGCTCCCTGCAAGCAATATAATTGAATCCAGCTCCACTCCTGAGCACCTACAAAGAATATGCATTAATGCTTCTGCCCCACCCTCAGGCAGAAATTACTCAATCATGAGGCCACATCAGAACCTCGGCAGAATGAGGGTGTAAGGATAAGAAACTCCGCTATGTGTAACTAGTGGAAACTTACTGAAGTTATATATGAAGGAAGGAACACTCCAGTTCCCATGTCTGACAAATCAATTTGGACAGAAGACTCTAATCCATAAGAGAAGCTCTCTCTAGGCAAAGTAACCCATCCTTTAAGTACAAAGTAGAGTGAAATCATCTCCATATTCACTTGCTTCTTTTCAAGTAATGCCATCTCATCCTTCCCTACTTCCTGCTATCCAGCAGGGAAAGTGAGCCACACATTGCCATGATGGTACAATGGAAACAATTACAGCAAATCCTAGAGAGGGAAGACAAAGACCACAATGGGGCACTACCTTTTCTTTCACTGCTACAGAGCAGCATAACAAAGAATTCATCGCAAACAATCCTGACATTACTTAGTGTTAATTATCTGTCTACGGATTTTTTCTCTAAAGTGGCTATGTTAGAAATGCAGCAACAAGGAACCCAAGAGCTTTGTATTCAGGAAAAACATTGCATGGCAGCAAATGCACCTCCATCAACTCTAGAGCTGAGCTAAAGATGACCCAGCAACATTAGCTCTCATATTAAAGAGTAAAATAATCCCTCAGATTAATCTAATCAGATGTATGTTCTTGGTCAATTTGTATTTACAAAGGAGTAAAACTACAGTTAATGGACTGCAGTTTATCTGCAATGCTGATGCAAAAAGCCTGACCGTTCCAGGAGTTCTGTACTTTCTGCCACCTCCAGTGGTAAGCCTCTGTCTGCATGACTTTCAAGTTTCTTGTCCTCCTCTTAAAGGCTTTAATTGTTTAGTCTTCTACTCAACTGCCTTTGTCTTAACATTCTAATCTACTGTACTTCTCCCACAGACATACTTCTATCCCCTTTTATTCTACTTATCTTAAGGTGAGGATACACACAGAACTTATTTGCAAAGCCACAAAGTACCTTCTACTTCCAATCCTCAGTCAGACATGACTTACTCAAGAACTCTTCATCAAATATAACCCTACTACAGATTTATATATGCAGGCACAAAGAATTGTGGCTCTTGCAGTTTACAATATTATTGTAATTAGCAATTATCACAAAAGTCTGGATGTCCAAGATTGTTGGCTAAAGATTGTTATGAACCTGTAATTTCTGTGACTAAACTTACCTGGACTGCTGTGATTCTTTTACAGACCTGAAGCAAATAGGAAAAAAAGAGTTCTTACAAACATGAGTGCCAGCACACAAATCTGCTGAGTTGCACAAGCTGCAAAAGTCCAATTTCTAAAATTTATTTCTTCTGAAATTGAACATAAATTGCGCTAACAATCCTAAATTCTTTATCCCAACTCAGGGGCTTTTAACAAACAGCTCCTTCAGTTTGTAACAAAAGCATGTGTGCACTCCCTTTCAAGTTGGGCATCTGCAAAACAGGTAATATCAGTTCACTCCTGATAAATACAGAAATATCAATTAGCTAAAAGGCATTATATGACCATATTCAGGGCAAAGTAACAACACCCTACAAAGCACAAAGAACTTACTTAAAATGTGGAAATTGCACAAAATTTAAGTAAAAGAGGCAGGGCTTCACTTTAGATGGTAAGAACATCTGGCATTTCCATTACCCTTTTGTTAAAACATAGGTCCACAAATGCTGATTAGATGTCCACCTAGACTGCAAAGAAGTCAAGAGTAACAACTCTTGCACACAAGGCAAGAGACCAGGTGGAAGGCAGTTTTTGAAAGGATGGATATCTGTGTGAATCTAGAGCTAAGTAGTTAAAACAGGCATACAAAAATTGTAGATGTTGTTTCCAAAAACATGTAGACACAGCTGCAAATTTAACTAGAGACTTAGTTTGTTCTTCATCATTTCAAACATGTCCAGGAATTTGACCAAACATGAAGAAAAAGTACTTGAATCTTTTGTTGCACAAGAAAATGCCTAAGAAAATGTACTGCAGGTGATCAGTGCTGTGTTCTCACCATAATCCTGGAAAATCACAAGTAAATGCAGAAGCAAACTGAAAAATGCATTTACCAGCTGCTATCCAATGCCAAGTTTTGAAATAACTATTCCTTATTTCTGCTCTTACATACATTAACTTGGTATTCTACATTTAACTTGACAGGATTTCTCACTTGAATGCTTAGATTTACAACGTATTTGCCTTTTAATTTACTGGAACTGCAGTTTTATCTGGGGGGATTTAACTAAAGCTGTTTCCATATGTTTTGAGCTGTAAGCTTGAGACCACGGATTTGGAACTGTACAACGTTTTGCTATTGGGCAGGTTGGCATAAATCCCATGTGTGGTGTATATTCACATAATACCTCCAGGGTTCTTCAGCAGGACACTTCCTATGAGTCAAGTGAGCATGCTGTTTTCCAACATAATGGAAATCAGAGTCGGCATTCAAGAGGTGAAGGATATGTCACCATTTTGTCCTCAGCAGTTCACAATAACTTTGTGTTAAATCTTACTCATTATATTCATTCATGAGAGTCAGTGTCTCACATTACTCTCAAACAGAAGAGATCAACAATTTTAACGCTTCCACTTTTTCAGCAAAGACACAACTGGTTAGGAACTGGTTAGGAAATGTGCACTGTTCCAAATCTCACCCACTGCCAGACATGCGTACCCAATTCCTGTCTCACATCACACAGCAGCAAGCCTGCATGTCACAGAGGTGCAAAGACTGTGCCTTTCTCCTACTCTAAACCTGCCTGTCAGGCTTTGAGAAATATAGAGCTAGGAAAAGGTTTCCACAGAGTCCTGTTGTTAGAGATATGATACATATGGAGGTTCCATACTACCCTCTCCTCTTTCTGAGAAAGGAGGTATCTCTGTTTCCCAGTCACATAGGTCTCAGCTCAGGAAAACAGAAATTTGAGAGGTCTGAGTGCAGGATTAGATAAAGTTCACAGTGACTCGAGAGTGAAATATTAGCCGTAGTGACATCAACAGAAAAGCTCTCACTGACTTGAGGGTCAAGATTTCAGCCCATATCTCAAACTAAAGTGTTTTTTAAGCTGATGAAATTCAGGCCCTGATCCTGTAGGAGTACACACCTTTCATTTCACATATTGAGCAGCTTAAATTTCACTGAGCAATTAACATCAAATAAAGTGAGTAAGCTTTAATGAGAGCTTGTCTCTAATTCTAAGTACCACCTTAAGATTTTACAGTGTAGTGAAAGGATTCAACCAGCACAAAAGCAACTCTAGGGATGCTTGCTTTGGCTCTTTTTACTTACTTTTGTCTGATCATCAGCCTTAAATACATAGCAGATACTTTGCTGATTTGCTGCTTCATCCTTTATCAGACAAGCAAAGTAGCTTGGATCGTGGCTGTTGTGAATCAGTTTGTGGACCTGCTGTGGCTTGTATTCAAATAAACTTGAACAAATTAAAGGATCCCACTGCTGGGTTTCCCCTGTGTCTGGCTCACAACGCAAACTGGCTGGTGAAACACAAAGTCGAATTTGGCTGACGCTGGGTTCTTCTTTGGGAGACTTTGCACTGAGCAACTGGATCTCGGCCACAATCCAAGGCAGCATTGACATAGTGGTTAGGGAATGCACCGGGAGAGAACCCACGAGCTGCAGACTGAAACTTGCTGAGAAATCACTAGGTGTTTGACACTTTTTAACTTTGAAAGTTATTGGCTCCATTTTACAGTCCTTTAGGGAACGTGGACTAATTCACCAATATTTCAGTTCCATGGAATGACATTATCTGGATGTTGGATGGCTCCTTTGATTAAGGAACAGAAGAGTTCTGAAAGGAAAAGAAAGAGTTATGTAGGTGCTGGAACTCTAGGAAAAACCAACTCTCAATAACACAAATAATTAATAGCTTCACACCCGAAGAGAGCTACCATGGTCTATCTAGCAAGTTCCCCCTCTTTACACTGGGCCTTACTATTTCAGGTCCAACAAACATAATTGTAATAAATACATTGCTTGGACAAGAGACAGTTCTGATTTAAAATTTGCTTTATGACCTTAGCTCAACTATCTAATGAGTAACTAAATTACAATGAATGTTCTTTCTAGCCTGTGTCTGTTTCATGGGCAGCCACATGTAGATCACATGGCCTATTTCAATCCTGTTATCACAGGAAGAACTCAGCTGAGCTATTCTGACCTTCATGACAGTTTTGTTCCTTCATGACTGCCTGCTAAGACGCCTTTACATGTGAGGAAAAAAAAAGTCACCTTGACAACTTTCTTGTCCATCAGTGGATGACTTTGAATTTGGCTACTAACATGGAGCTGTTCCCTTAGGTATAGTTTGCCCAGTGATTATTGGTTGTAACCAAACAGATTTTTTTCAATAAATAACACCCTAGAAATCACTGCCATGTAAAAATGCTAGCAGCAGTCAACAGAGTGATTGCTGAAAAACCTGTCAGATAGCAGTCAGAAGGAACAATCCCTACAGCATTCCGGGAAGAACCAGATGATGATCGCAATTCATGGTTGCATTTTAACACTGGTCAGCCAGACAGGAACACCTAAATGTTAGCCTGACTGACATTGTATCATTTTCATTTCTTAAAATATCAAATGGAATATACCAAGTTACACACAACCCTGTTGTAACCCTGTTATACCCAGCAACTAGTACCACTACTGTTATTGCTGTATTAGTGCTTTTAGTAATGAAATCCAATAATTGCATTTCTTTATAAATTCCATTTCACAATTTCCATTTCATGCAGTCCATGAAAACACAAAGATTGGCATTTGTTATACACCATTTTAACTCCTCTTTAATTGCCCCTAGTTTCAGCTGTTACATTATATTGTGTGAGACTGATGCAAGGCTGACAGGCCTGTAATTGCCTGTGTTTAAATACCAGGACACTAGTTTACCATCAGTCTTTCAATAGTTTCCCATGATAAGGCTTATTAAAAACAACATAAATAGTACCAAGATATCCTTAAATAACATTTTAATTACTTTTGAACAAGTTTTGAGTAAGTGCCATCTATTTACTGTGGTAACAGTATTTCTTGTCTTTGTTCATCTACAAATATGATCAAAACCAGCACTATTTTTCTCATGAGTTTCCATTGAACTTTGTCCTTCTTTTGCTCTTGTAATAACATTTTCAGACTGAGTTTCTAACAGTCTTTCACCTTTTTGAAAATGAAAGGAAATTTCAGGATTAAAAAAGCTCCAAAAATTTCAAGACTGAAATTAATGTTGAGCTGTTTAAAATGAAACCAATCTGTAGATATCCCACTGCAGAAAAATGTTTCTGCAATAATTGGCAAACTGTAAAAACAAGAGAGCTGCAAAAATCATCTTTGAGTACATTTAGTTTTTGAAACTTTTTCATCTTTTGACAAATGAACACTGCGGCAGCATTATCAGTTCCAAGAATAGCAAATTTAGCAAGAGTGCAAGTTTTCAAGATACTATTCAATAAATTAATAATAAATAGCATTCTTGATGTGTAGATCAAATTTTTTAAAGTCTTTTAATAAACCTCTGTGTGTGCATCTGGGCATGGGAGGTGTGGGAAAAAGGGCCATGAAAATCAAGCATTTGTACACCTCATTTTAAGTATACTACAATTGGGAGGGGTTTTTTTGTTTATTTCACGAATGAGCAAGAAAATAAGCATCTTTTAGATTCATATAGATGCTTTACATCCTAAATTAAATGGCATTAAGCTGTGGCAGGGGTGATTCAGGTTGGATATCAGGAAGAATTTCTTCAAGGGTGGTAAAGGAAAGGGTGAAAGGGTGGTAAGGATTGGGAGAGGCTGCCCAGGGATGTGGTGGAGTCACTGTTCCTGGAAGTGTTCAAGAAACTGGATGTGGTACTTGGTGCTATGATCTAATCCACATGGTGCTGTTCAGTCAAATGCTGGACTGATGATCTTGGAGATCTTTTCCAACATCAACGATTCTGTGGTTCTAAACGGGATAGCAGCTGCAGGAAGCACTTTTACACCTCGTCAACACAGACTCCTAAACACAGTTACCATTATAGTTTTCCTTCAGCCAAGAATCAAAATGGTCTCTTCTTTCACAAACTGTTACAAACTTTTTCTCCTTAACTTCAACAATGAAAAATAGTTCAGCAACTGCAGGGAAGATGATTGGATTAATTCGTAACCACCATGATGTGTAGTCAAAACTACATAAAAATCCAGGTTTTAGCTTCCAGTGCTCTTGTCACTTAGTGGCATAGATAATAATCTCAGGATAAGAAAGCCTTAGAAAACTTCATTCTTAGTTGAAAACAAGAGAACTGAGCTACCACACAGACAATGATGTATTATAGCAAATTTTTTATTTGTGTTTTCTGAAAACACTTCTTAAAAAAATGTCATTAAAGGCGTGTAGAAATACAACAGTCACCCTTGTTTCTAGCAACTTTTCAAGTTTCTTTTTGCTCTTTTACCCTAGATCTAATGCAGCCTCAAAGAGAAATGAATATCACAATATAATACATTATTTTGCACACTAACTCTAAGGACTGAACAGAATATAAAAACCCAAGGTTGATAGTCTGCCATACTTAAACAAACATTGTACTGCTGGAATGTATTTAATATAAATGTGAAGCTTCTCAGCATTCATCTCTTTTTAACATAAATAAATACCTTGCAAAGTCAACAGCATAAATACTCCAATGTCTGCATTTGTTATTTCCAAAAAAAACCACTTACTACTAAATCAAACCAGTTAAGTAGAAGTTAAAATGCTAGGTTTTTTCCCTAATGTTTAGGAGAGGCTGAAAGTGCAGTTTCTCAGAGCACAAATTTAGCAGCATCAGAAAGTCTCCTTATCTAACCCATATCATTCTTCATATTACTGTTCTGCATGTTCCATTTCCCTTTCCCAGACATTCTTTGTTTTCCCCTCCTGTCACTTATTGTAAACAAATCCCACCAGAAATTATGCCAATTTCAAGCTGCTGGTGTTAATGTCCTTGAAGTTTCCCCAAGGACTAGGTTTTACTTCAAGACCATGAAGTATTTATGTACATGCTTAATTTAGACCTAAAAATAGTTTTGTTCTTCTCATCAGACCTTTTCCCAGCCATAAAATTAAGCATATGTTACAGCCAAAGAGTAGTCATGCTCTCAGCCCATCCATGTCTGCCCTGACTCTACTGCTTGGAATTTTAGCACCTTTACCCATCTCTGGTTGCCACCTTTCAGTTCATCCCCTCTGAAATTTGGCTCTGCAGGTGCCATAGGAGTTTACCACACACATTGGTACAGTAGGCTCAAACAAGTTTCCTCTTCCTCCCAAGTGTCTGATTAACTCATGCTTATAAATGTTTATTTCACCTCTAATCCAAGAGGGATTAAAAAAGATATAAAAATACAGCTGTCCACTAGTTTCGTTCTACCTCAACTTTGATGTTCCTTTGGCAGCTCTAAGCACCATTCAGCTTTATTACTCTGGGCTATGCTTAGCACACTGGATGTCTCCAGTTGTTCTCCCAGTGCTCACAGACATAACTGGGACAGTTCCTCTTTCTCCTCTCCACTAGCATCTTTTGAAAGGTGTTGCTTGCCCTTGCACTCAAAACTGAGAACAGCTTGAGTGGCACTCCTCAGCTGACAGCTTTGCTGCTAAGACACAGTTTATAGAGATATAGAGAATATGAATGTTTTTGTTCCTACTGCTTAGCCTGCTTTGATTCAGCTGTATTTGCTCCATCAGCACAAGAACAGCCAGTCAAACTGTAACACATAAGATATTTACATAAACCACATTAATATATCTATTACTGCCTTCTGTACTAGGGAACACCAGACTGACCCATTAATGTGGAAGATGCACACGGGAACACATGTGTGCCCTTTGTCCTCAGCTTCTCTTTTGCTCTCATCAACCCAGCCACTTCTCACAAGGCGGGAGGCTCAAAAAGCATGCAACACTACACTGATGGTCCTGTTCTAGCAAAATCCGATATTGTGGTTTTTTAAAACTCTAACCTAATTAAAAAAACCAAAAAAAGTTAGTCTCTTGCTCTCCAAAATCAAGTTACATTCTCACCGTGTTATGCCACCAAGCTAAAATGGAACCCTTCAGAGAGAAGTGAGGGTGATGGCAAGACAGCATGAAAGGGAGAGCTACACAAATTATTATTTCTGCTATTCTGGACCCCATGTAAAGGTACATGTCTAAGCAGCATTGCATCACATAGGACAGGACAGCATTCCTCAAAACTCACCCTCTCTCAAGAGATCAAAGACTGTATCACAAGGACAAGGTACTGGCTCCAGGTGCCAGTCGGTTAGATGGAGTCAGGTAAGCTTTGAGTTTAGGAATGAGAATCTTGTGAGGTTATTGTGTAAGTAACCTGGGAAAGTCAGGCACTGAAAAATCAGGTTTGTGCACCTGGGGGAACACCAGGCAGATCTGGAATAGACTGAAATTAATACAGAAAAAAGAGAGGAAATAGAATGTTCTAAACCAAAAGAACACCACCCCACCACCACCACAGCAACAACAACAACGAGCAGAAATTTTGACAGTGGTGAAGTGTTATCCTTCTTTTGTCCTTTCTTTTCAACTGGACTAAGTTCAATACAGACACACAGCCAAAAGTTTTAAACTGTTGTTCAGAACACTGGTAACTGCAGACTTCACCCTCCTCCAGTTCCTTCCCTGCTTTGGTAGCAGTTGGAGTGCTGGGACTCACAGCAGAACTCACGAGCTTGGAAGATGTGTCATGCAATGAAGCAGTTAGGGCTTTCACACAGCAATGAATAAATGAGGGTTTGACCTGGGAGCTGAACAGAAAGATGCCATCATCCTTGACCTTTGCAGTTCTTCTGAGACACAACTGCGCAGTTACTCCACATCAGGCTCAGGACATGACAGCAGCTTTAGTTTCTGTAAGTTTCTGTAAGTCAGTTTTCCTCCCCTTCAAGAAGCTAAGCAAAAAATGCAACCATACAGCAAGTTCTTATGAAAAACAGCTGGTCTTAAATAGCACAAATTTGTTCAGCTCTTCTCTGCATGGCATTAGCACTGAACCCTGTTGACAAATGGAACCAGAGGCACTGGTACTGACTGCACTTCACCACTGATTATTTTAGTAGAAATATCATACTACTTAAGGATTATGAGGAGCCCTGGCCTGCAGCCAGAATTCTGGAACACTAGCCAGAACTAAATACCACTTGTCTCCCTCTCTTTCTGATCCCTAACTGAAATTTACATTGTCTTTGCTCAAGCTGACAGATTTCTCTATCCACCTGGCAGGATATATAGAAAAACACAAATGAGAATATATATAAAGTATGTCATGACATGGTCACTGCTGAGAACAGTGTTCAAAAAGTTTTTTTATTTAATTCAAGTGGGCACTTGGAAGAATGACACACCCCTCTTGTTGCAAGGATATTCTTTTTATCTCATAGCTACTTATTATCTGCTGTTTCCCTCTGAAGCTATGGTTTGCTGTGGCCAAAAGCATGCACAAGTCCAGAAACCAATATGCCTCAGAAATTAGTTTTAATTTCCGTTATTTTTTCATTAAATGCTGACTTTTAAAAGACTTAATGCTTAAATGTTGATAGCAACTCCAGACTGGGTGCTGAATAACATAACCATATACCCTGGCACTAGTTCCAGTAATAAACACACCTAAAATATTTAGCAGTACAGCCAGCATTTATATCACTCCTCAAGTATGTTTTATAAATAGGCTATTAATAAAAAAATGCAACAAAATGGTAGCATGTTCTTGATTACAAATATACACATTTATAATCAACTATCAAATGAAGAAAATAGCTGACTGTTCCTGCCCTTAACACCTGTTGCCATTTTCTTAGTCAAGTCCACGGAAACTAATATGCTGATGATTGAAGTCTCCTGACTCAGCCTCATACAGACCTGAAGAAAATATTGAGCTGTTCTATGAATGTAATGCACTAAAAAAAGAAAAAAAATCTTTGTAAAATAAAGCTTGCTAGGTAAATTACAATATGAATACCATTCATTTTTATTCAATTGCATGTCCATAGCCAAAATGCCTGCATTCAACTTTGCAGCTAACCAAATTAAAGTGAAAAAGTGTCAAGTCATCCACATATCACTGAATGTGTTTCACTTTCCTTCCATCCTGTCGTTTTTCTCACCTGCAAACACTTCTACTTTTGTGTATTACCCATGATTTTCAGCATTCCTATATAATAACCCGTGACAAATTTCTATTTCAGCACTTACAAGTGTTGAAAGTATAGTCATATGCATAAGCTCAGAGATATTCGCTATTCAGAAAATGCATGATTTATTAATTTTGACCCAAAATGTTCCATTCAATCTCTGGGCTTAACGCAGACACAAATCCCACCATCTGCACTACTAAAGGTTCCTACGGCAGATCTGCCATGTTAGCCTCTCTCCCAAATAAAACAAAGGCCTCAATCTTTTCGAACTGCGCTATAAATAACCACATTCGTTTCATACCTCTCGTGAACGCAGTTTCAAGAGATCATTCCCCGGTGGCTTAGCTGGCGAATTTAAAGGGCCATAAGAACACTGCGCCGCCGTGGGCAGACTCAAAGTTACACGGGGCCGTGCCCGGCAGGAAAGGTCCGCTTATCCCGGGAACAGCCGCTCGGCTGCTCCGAGACGGAGCGGGGTCTGGGAGGAGTTATACCCACCTATTTTGCATAGATGGGCGAGGAAACAGCAGACAAGAAAGAAAAGGAACTAAAGGCACCTCAGGTCACTGACAGATTAAATTCAAGCCGGTCTTTTGGTTATTCTGATGAGGAGCCAACACTGCCAGAACAGCGGCACCGGCGCCCCCGCCCGCGCTGCGCTCCCGCCCGGCCGCCCCGTCCCGCAGCAACGCTGTTCCCTCAGCCAGAGCTGCGCCTTCGCCGGGAGCCCCGCTAGGAGCGACGGCGGGACCCGCCGGGAGCGCACAGCCCGCCCTTCCCGCCGCGGGCACGGAGCGGGGCCCCGGCCGGACCCGCCCGGCTCCGGAGGCTGCTCCTCCCTCGCAGCGCGGTACCGGCACGGGCCGCCCGCGGCGGGTGCCGCACTCCTCGCCACAACTCTTCACTTCCTCTGCGCCGAGAGCTGCTCTTCCTCCTTCCCCCACCCTCCCAAAACGCTGCTCGGCCCCGCCGGCGCCGCTGTCCCAGGCCGGCCCACAGTGGGGGCACGGCGGGCCCCACCGCCGCCCCCTACCCGGCCTGGGGCCGGGGCTGCCCGGACGCCGCTTACCGCCGCAGGATGTGCTCGCCGCAGGGACGTGCCCTCGGCGGGCAGCGGCCGCGGGCTGCCAGGCGCGCCCGGGCACCTCCCGCGCGGGGAGCGGGCGGGGCCGGTAACGGGCTCCCCTGCCCTGCCCGCTGCCCGCCCGGCGCCTCCTGCCCTGCCCGGTGCCCGGCCCACCCCTACCTGCCGGCGGGCCGGGACGAGGAGGGAGCCGAGCCGCACACCCGGCCGGGCCGCTCGCCAGCGCGGGCGAAAATAGCAACAGGCGGTGGGTCCCGGCCCGGGGGGCGGACGGCACGGGCGCCCGGCAGAGACGGCGGGCAGCCGGCGACAGGGGGGCGCCCACGTTGCGACAGCGGGCAGCTGAAGCCTCCTCCCCTCGCCCGTGAAGTTCCTCTCGAAGAGCATTTCGGCGACGCTGCCCCGTGTGTCTGGCACAGCCTCTGATCTCCCGCGGGAAACGTGTCGTTGTCGCCTTGCGGTAGTGAGCCGGGGCGGATGGCGGGGTCAGCCGAAGTGGCGAGCGAAGCTTGCTCACAAAACTGGAGCTAGCCCGGCCTGAGAGCCCTGAAGCGGTCAAGTCCCCACTCGGCTGTGGGCGCAGCCCTGGCCGCAGAGCAGCCTTTTGGGAGCTTACCGGAGTCACCTCGACGGCTTCCTCAAAGAAACCACACTTGCATATGCATAAAATCATTGTAAGGGTAGGTATTAGTTGGTCTTCCAGTTGCCAGAAATGATAAGGCATGAATGGATCCAGAGACTTAATTATACTTCTCTGCAAGTGGAGAAGATTAAGGCATGCTACATTCCCGTTGTGCCAACCACTTCTGTACTCAGTTAATTATCAATTTCAACTGCTACTTCTTGGCAGTAAGACCGCTGACTTTCTTACTTTTAATCCTGTGCACATTTGTAGAATCAGAGCTTTCTACAGGAAATCTGCTCTGTTGGTGTGAGGGAAACAGTCAAGCAGTTAAATGCAAGCACAGTGTTGCCCCAGATTATGGAAAATAAGACAGATTTTGGTATTCAAGCACATCCCCTACTTGCAAAGTGTAGATACAAAATCCATTGTGTCTCCATGACCTTTGGCATCTGGGTGTACTTCCTGGCACAGTAAATTACCACTTCACTGGTAAGTGAATTGAGGTGCGTAAGTAGCAGTTCACCCAAAGATCCTGTTCCCAGTCTGTGCTCAGGTCACGGTTGGCTGCTTCCACTTCAGACATGGGAATAGGTATGAGTGCCTCTTGATTTTCCATGTCACTTTTACGGTCCTTGGAAGGAGGAATGCCATTTTCTTGCAATCAGTGTCTGTCTGTCTTCGTTTTTAAAACATCACAGCTAAGGACAATGCTCTTACTCCAGTTATTACCCAATATCAGTACTAAGTCAAGAATGCCTTTTTGCTCATTTTAAGCCTGTCTGAGCATTGCATGCCTCTGGTAACCGTGCTCTAGCAGAAGGTGAACTGCAATTCCCACCCAGACAGCTCTAGCACTTCAGCCGAGGCTCATGCATTCCCACATTATCAGCCAATGATCTTAGGAAGACTTTTTTTTACTGTTTCACTGTTGCCTGTCAAAAAAAATGTAATGAAAATTTAATGATGAAAATTTAATGATAAATATTTAATGAAACAGAGAAAGACTATTTCTCGCTTTTTGGAAAATCCTTGAACAACAGAAGCCAATACTAGAGCATCACAATTAAAAATACTTTCTTCTTTCTCCTCTTTGATACTGGGAAAGAAATCAGCCCCAGAATGTTCAGCCTGCCTGCAATGAATGTTACCTAATCATCACCTTTCTGGCTACTTTGGACAGCATTCCTTGTCTGCTTCCTGATGAAACTGTTACTTAAATAGGGGCAATAAAAAAGAACCACAATGAGGGTTTTATGTTCCAATCCCTCAAAATTAAGCACTTTTATGTTTTGCAGGGACTGGGATCCCAGTATTCATGTGAAAGCTATGAGCACCAGACTTTCTAATAATTTTCTGTTTTCTGAAAAAGTAGATCTCTGTTCTTTTTTCCTTCACAGGTTAGATTTTCTTCACAGTAGCCTGTTAACTAAAGCATGTACCACATTAACTTCCTCAGACTGAGGAGGAAAATCAAGCTGTACTTTCCACATCCTGCAAACATGATGTAAAAATAACACCAGTTAAACCATTTTTTCTTTGTCCAGTCACGTTCTAAAAAAAAAATGCAAGGAAAACCCCACCACTGCCTTTTGTACAGAACCTGAATATGCAGTCTTGTATGAAGCACTCTCTGAGAACATGTGGGTAATGAAGCTTCTTTTGTAGGTTAAGGACCAGAGGTATCTACTCACTTGGTCCCAGCTGGGGTAGGATTGTAGAGCAATATAAATTTAGGCTGAATGTGCCAGGCCATGAGTCAGGGCAGAGCTTGGTGCTGTACCCTTTGAAGTACCACAAGGCAAACAGGAAGTTTCCACCCAAGATGCTTTCAGAGTTCAAGTTGCTCCATAGCTGGGCAGCAGCTGAGCAGTCATGCTTTTGGATTGTGAATTTGAATGCAGGCACCTATATTGTGTTTCAGTTGCCTTGTAAGCTTCTGTGCTTTTCCCTCTATGTTACCCATAAAGATTATTTTCTATGGTTATTATGTAAAACAGTCTTTTTTTGTGACTTCTGTCATGTAAATTTGTTTAGTACATTATTAAGGGATGTTGCTGACTGGTTTGCAGTGGTCTGACTTAAGGAGTTCTGGATGAAGTACTACATTCTTATCCAGTGACACTGTATCTCCAGATGCTATTTATATATAACCTCAATTCATAAATAAAATTTGCATAACTGTTATTATAGCACATTTACCTACTGCATGTGCTGTAGGAATACATGGCAGTGACATTAATTAGTGATTATCTTTGTAGACAAGAGGCTTTCTATTATCACTGATGAGTAGTCAAGAAGGAGTTGAGCTACTGTTACAGATCCTGCCTGCTGCTGTCTCTGTATTTTTGAGCATTTCAGATGTCATGGTTAATCCTCTCTCCTTCATTCCCATACATACTTTTGAAAATTACTTACCAGTGTTTATGTGAGTATTTTAAGCTTCTCATTTTTGTTTGGAAGCTGCTGTTTCTATGCAATCATCTATATTACAGTTTATTTGGTTGGGTGTTAGGATATGATTGGAGAGTTTAATAGTGTCATCCCATTATTCACAATGTTCTGATGGTGCATGACCTCATTTCAGTCACCTGGCAATTGCTATACAAAAGAGTGATGTTGTTTTCTACTTGGAAGTTGATCAGAAATACTAATACCATGATGAATGCATATCTTACATAGTGCAAAAATGCCCTGTGGAGGAAAACAATTCAGCTTAATTACTTTTGATTAGTTTTGTACTTAGAGACAGGAAACTGTTTTACTGGTGATCATTTTTATTTACAATTAATTAGATATACATATGGCATCCAGATGCCTTCAGCATCGGAATCCCAAAAATCCCCAAACTTGTTAATACTTATGTTGGTGGTTAACAACTGTTAATTTAATATCATTGTAATGTTGCTATTCACAGTGATTGTTAATCAAGGACATAAGATTTGCTTGTTGGTGGTGTGTGAAAATAAAACCCATGACCACTGGAATTTTTAAAAGAATTAGCAAGGAGAAAAACTTTATTTACAGAAACTTTGTAGGTGAATCAGTTACATATTTAAGCACACATTGTACAAAATTGAAATTTTTTATATAATAAAGCTTCTTAGAATTAATTCCAGTTATCCTGAATGATTTGTTGAATATAGCAAAATCGTTAAATAAATCCTTCTGCAGCTCAATACTTGACTATCATAACAATACTTTTAGATAATATGCTGTGGACTAAGTTCATAGTACTTAGATGAAATGTATTTATTTCCTTCCAGCCAAACTGTTCCAATCCATCCCTGAATTTTAATTTATTCAGTAAATTTTATGATACTGTGACTTGTAAAAAAATGAATAACCTTCAAGTGAAGTCCATTGGTCTATCCTTAAAGCATTACTGGTTTTGGGGTTTGTTTTGGCAGAGTTTTGAGTACTATGCTCATTCTTCTTAGTCTCTCCCTCTAGCCCCATAGGCCTGATCGCCTATAGGATCAATATTTATAACTGTCACTGGAATTGTGTTCCCTTCTGTTATAAAAATCAGACTAATTTTACATGTTTTTGGTAATGTAGGGATGTGTCTTCCTCTAGAAACAGCCAAGAATTCCCTTACACCCAAGTTCAATCTGGGCTGCAAGTACTCTTTATTCCAGGCATGGCAATTCCCATTTCTGGATATAATACTAGTGCACCTGCTCCCAGTTCAAGGCTTCTTTTTTACAAATTACATTTGGCTATGGTTTAGTATCTGTCTTGGGACTAAGAATGTCTAAGTAGGCTTCATTATCTTACACAACACTTCAGTGAAAGAATTAGACCAGCTCTGAAGAAACTGTAGCTTAACACCCGTTCTGACCTGCAATATTAACTTCTCTCTTGCTATACTCTTGCTGCCTTTGTTTTGATTCTTTATTTCAGTTCTAGATCCTCTTTCTCTGATGCAAGACAAGGTTAGTAAAGACTTTCGCAATAACAAGTTGCTAAATTGTAATTTTGTAGTTTGTTGTAATTGCTCAAGCAGTTTGATAAACCGCTGTGGGTTTGGCTATTTTTTTTGTCATGTCCCGCCCCCCTGAAGTTGTGAACTTCTGTCTGGGATAGAGAAAGGAATGGAGCAAGTAAATTCCTTGACCTTGGGAAGACAAAATGATAAAGATTAGGTCATTACCTTATGTCTGTACTGTTTCTGAGGATGTTTCAGTATATATGAGCGCATTTCAGGTCTCACTTCCAAACTTCTAACATTAGCAAAATCCAAATCCAGGTTTGGCATATAAAAGCACATGTAAAATATGCCTCGCTAACCTGTGGAGATGTTAAGATAAAAACATTAAAAGATTCAGGACCTGTAATCCTCCATCTTCAGGCCTTCCCCATGAATTCAGTAAAGCATCCTTTATCATATTCTGCACCAAAAGAAATGTGAGCCCTCCCAGTAAAAATGAAAGTAAAAAGAATTACGGAATGGTTTTGGTGTGATGGTCCCCTTTAAAAATCACCTTCCCTAGTTCAACTTCCCTACATGAAGCAGGGACACTTTCCACTAGATCAGATTGCTCAAAGCTGCATCCAACATGGCCTTGAACACTTTCAGGCATCCAAGAGCTTTGCTGGGCAACTTGTTCCTGTGTCTCACCCTCCTCAGTACAAAAAAATCTTTCCTTGTATCCAATTAAATCCATCCTCTTTCACTTTAAAACTGTTTCCCCTTGTCCTGTCACTACAGACCCTGGTAAAACATGTGGGCTTATAAGCCCACTTTTATATTGAAAGATCTCACAGCCTCTTGTACAGGATGAGCAACCCCAGCCCACTCAGCCTTTTTTCCCAGCACAGGTATTCTAACCCTCTGACTGTTTTCATGACCTTCCTCTGCACCTGCTCTAACAGCTTCACATTGTTCTTGGATGCGGTACTCTAAGAGGGGTTTCACAAGAGCACAGTGGAGGGAGAGAATCACCTCCCCTGTTGGAGCACAAGGCTGCAGGCTTGTGCAGACCCACAAAGCTTCTCCAGCCCTGAGGATGTAGCTCATCAATGCCCAAATTGAAGGCACTGCCCCAACCTGCCTCCTGAAGTGCCATTCCTGAGTCTGTGATTTCGAGCAAGGAGAAAGCCAGTAAGAAGCAGATCCTTTGTGGTAGGATAGTGCTTTTTATCCTGCCAATGTCTCCCCTTACATAACTGGCTCAGGCATGAAAACTCCCCTGCAGAAAAGTACTGGGACACACACATGGAGGCTTGAAGGTATTAATTCCTTCTGATGGGGCATAATTCGCTCAACTCGGTTGACTTGAGAGGCCGCTGTCATGTCTTAGAAGTTGTCATAAACCACCAAAGATCCCTGAAGCACCCCCAAACTCATTTCTGAGGCCTCTCACAGGTCTGCACATGATCTGCAGTAGTACATCAGACTATAAAACTTCCTCTCCTTCCACTTCCCCCAGGGCTGCCTCCCCGTATGCAGCTGCACAACTGCTGCAATCTTCAGTTGCACTGAAAATAACAAGCACAGAAGACTTGAATTCTGGGAGGATAATCAAGCTTAGGAGTTTTGCATTTATAAGAAGTATGTACCTACGGTTGTGACCATTATTGCTACACTGATATCCAAAGCAAATACTGAAAATGCAGAAAAGCCCCATATTAAAGTCAACTGGCAACCTCCAAAAAACCCTCTCAGGCTTTGCAAGCACAGACAAGAGCATGCAATGAAATTGAAACTTCTGCTCTAAATTAGACATGCACCAAGTCATGGCAGCACAGTGTGAGAGGCTCCAAAACTAGGCTATGCATTGAACTAATTATGCTTAGTTCAGTGAGGCAAAAAAAAGGTGCTGTATGTCGATATACTATCTTAATGGGTTCGTGGTATTCAAAGACAGTTTAGTACACTTTGTATCCCTTGCCTGGAATATTATACAGAGTCTCATAACAAACAGAAATTGAACAAATTTTGCTGTGAGTTTCTTGTTTCTTTGGGCCAAAATCCCTAAGAAAGATCACTACTTCTGATTAATCTGCCCCAAGTTTGTCAAAGTCTCACCACAGGCTTTAAATACTTCCTGTTAACAGAAGAACTTCCTTTGCAAATCTAAACCTAGACAAAGCTGCATAGTGTTATCAGATGATATGTACACAAAACAAATAAGTCACCACAAAACAGGCTGTTTCAGATATCAGAATATTACTTATATTTAATTAAAACAAGTTTTGATTGAAATACATTTGCAGTCAACTTTTAGTTCATAAAGCTTTTACTTCAACTTATTGGGTTTTTTTGGTCCGTACTACTTTCCTTCCAAAATAAGATACTAGAGCCAAGAGTACCCAAAATAACTCTTAAAAGCAGAAGTCTTTAGAGTCAGAGTTCTCATACGTTTGGTCCTAAAAATCCTTAACTTCTTAAATAATGCACTTCTAATTCTGCAAAAGCCAATCAAGGTAGTAATTTTGCTATTTTACTCAGTCTTTCGTTGAAGTTTGTTTTTCTCTGGTTGAAAGAAGTGTTTTTCAAGAGCATTGACCAATTCATCTAGTTCCTTCTTCAGCTGTTCAACATCACTGGAAAACAAAAATCACACAAACACAGAAAACAGTGAAACAGTGGAAAAGCTAAAATGTATAGTTTTAGTGTGAGGAATTTTTAGATCTGTTGCATTGCTTTAGACAAACATTTTCTATTAATGCTAGAAGTCTACATTTGATTTCTTATGGCAATGCACTGATGTTCACTTTCAACTGATATGCACGAAGACTATGAAGAAACATAACTCCACAATATAATCTAAAGTAGTATGGCAAATTTGAGTTCAGAAGATCCTCTATTACTAAATGTGAGTGGCTAGAAGTGTAATTTTTATACCTGTAGCAGTATTCTTAGATGACTTTTCATCTGTGAAAAAATATTACTTTCATTATATAAGTTAATTGTTATCTTTAAGACTGTATGATTTCCAAGGCTACTGGTTAAGGATATAATTGCTAAACATAAAAGGGTCTGAAATATATTAGAACACTTTATATTTGATTAAATATTTTTAAAGCAACTTTGTATGTAAAAAAAGGGGTGAAAATATTTGCATTTATTTAAGGCAGAATGCTTTTCCTGATACTGTTTTCACTGAATGTAAAACCGAGTTCAAAGAAATTTCAGTGACAAGAATGTGTCAATAAATTTTGCAGAAGCTTTATACAAATACATTCTCTAAAATGACTTTAGTAATATTATTGACCGTGGACAGCTCTTATTTCTCTAAAACAATACCAAAAAGCCACACAGACCCTGTTACACCAACTGCACTGCTGTAAGTGACAATACCTGTTTCCAGGGGGTGCACAAAGTTCAGAATAGTATTTGATCTTTGGTTCCGTCCCACTGGTTCTCATTGTAGCCACTCCTCCATTAGCAAAAGTGAATGTTATCATTTGGCTGCTTTTACTAGTAGGAAGTATCTAGAAATATTAAGAATATTAAAAAAAAAAAAACTTGGAAAGAGGCTATATATAAATCCATGATTTGATGTTAGATAGTATGACAAAAGCATCAGCTAAAATTATAGTTTAGTTCTGTTTTCTTCAACATTATGGTCTTAAGACCACAAGGACAGCCTTGCCCTCAGCCTGGAATCTGGCAGAACTGCATCACTGCTAGGTAGCTCATTTCAATTCTAGACAATTTTTTACTGCTAATAGAAGTTGAGCTGTCATGGCATTTCCCAGGAGGAAAGGAAATGGAGATTGAGTGGCGAAACAGAATCCAAAGCCACATCTTAACAGACAGTTTAACTTGCACTCACAAGAAAACAATGCAGATTGCTGTAGCAAGGCAGCAAGATCCTCCTACTGCCCTTCACAAACTGTCATCCTGGAGAGAAAAACACACCACAAAACCTAACAAAAAACCCAACACCCCCTTGGCTTCACTTCCTCTCACCAAGGCATAACAATCGTCACCAATCTAAGTTATTTTATGACTCAGCATGTAAATATGTTTAGTGTTTCTCCACAGAATGTCTTATGTATGTGTACATACATCACATATGATTTACATGCAATTTAGAAAGATACTTACAGCCTTTTGATCTGGCTGGCTGCTGTCATATCCAGTAGTTAGATCCCTTATTCCAGAAACTTTAAATCTACCACAAGATTTTGGGTATGTGTTTTTTCCATCAAAATTTCTAAGGTTGTCAAAAAGCTGTTGAATAACTTTAGGATCATGGCAGATGAAATACGAAGCTTTGGTAATATGGAAGCCATATCTGTGAAGATGCAATATTAGTGAATCCAGGAAGCAATGTCCTAAGAGTTGTACACCAGACACATTACACAACCTTCCAAAAAGCAACACTGTACTCATGCTCACTCAACTGAAGCACCAGTTCTTGCCCTTAAAATTTTAAAAAGGTCCAAACAGCTTAATTATCCATTTTACATACTTCAAATAAACTTCTCTGCAGATGTCTTTTATTTTTAATGATGAAAACTGAGAAAGTTTACAGCAATACCAGAAAAAAAAAGTATACCATTATTGCCTTGAAGTACTCTAACCACCAAAGGAAGGGAAGAGATTACATGTAATAGCTTCTTCGAATGGATTCCAGCTGACCTTTTCTAAGTAAAACAAATTCTAGACTGGTTTTTCCAATCACACTTCACTGAAGTGTTTCTACTCTCCCATTAAAGTGTTTTTACTAAACCAAACTGTTCTGAACATTGTCTCTCTACCTGTTTGCTTCCAGGTAATGTGATGCAAAGACAAATGACCCGGTAACACTGACTTTTCAAAATATCATGTTGTTGAGAAACATACAAGCCTGGGCTGGTTGTTCCAGTGAGCTCTTGCTACAGATCAAGACTTGATAAATATCCCTGACGGCAGTGAAAATCTGAGGGGCAGAAACTTCATTAGTACTAGGATGTTCACGCTAGAAATCTGACTCTTAAATAGGGTCATGATTATATCTAAATGGATATCTTGAAAGTTAATAGTAGTTAAATTATCTTAAGAATTTAGTAAGGGAATTAACAAAACCTATCCTGTATCTGAAAGAAGTGATAAGCATGTTAGGACCATGTCCTTTTTCTGATCTGCATTGACTTCGAGACAGATTCCCCTTCTACATTTCCATAGCACAAAATAAGAGTTTCTTCTGCTTCAACTGTAACTCACAAGGCAAATCTAACAAAAAAGTAAAGTAGTAAGAAGTAGAAAACTGCAACTCTGTATCAGCCACAAACAAAAATCAAACACATACAAAACAACCTCCCAAAACAAAACAAGAACCGTCCTTCCAGCTCATTATCAAACAACAGTTTAATAGGGCAGATTTGTATCCCTCCCTCTATCTGTAGCTTTGCCACGAAGAGTGACTATGGACAGTGACATCTTACAGACTGCTTTTATGCTGAAGCAGCTCTGAGTCCTCCTCAGTGCCTATGTACACAGCAGCACTGTGGCACAGCTCAATTCCACTCAGTCAAATATTCTGAAGTCAACCTGAAGCAGGTGTTTACTGTAGTATTAGTATTTAAAAAATAATAAAAAAAGCTCAAGCCAGAGCTTGAATATTCAATTATTGAATATGCACTTCCAGCTAGTAGCATTTAAGGGAATTCTCACATCAGATGCTGCATTTGCTGCTCTAGGTATGAATTTTTCTTTCATGCTTTTATATCACACAATTTATCTATGCAGTGTAAGCAAGTCTTTGGCACTTGATTCCTTCCTAAAGAGACAACAAAACAAGCATGGCTTGTTTTGCTGCACACAAATGAGAACTCAGGACTAGCAAAACAAGCAGCACAAAGGCTGGAGTTTTCCAAGAGTTTTTTTGCAGGTTCCGCACTCCCTTGTTAGTGCGTACGAGACACGAAGAGCTGGAGAGTATCAAACAGCCTGTGCTGCTCCCTCCTCTAAAACAAACAACCCAAAACCTCCACAAAAATCACTCCCTGCCTCATGAAATCCAATATTCTCCTTTGCTATTGATTTCTTTGAATCCATTAAAAAAGAACAAAAGAAAAGTAGTGCCTCAGAGGGATACCCAGCTGTATACAGCCAAGAGTAATGGCCAGTCACAGCCCTTCTGAATAATCAGCTCAAATCTCATTAATCAGGAGCAGAAAGAGAAAAGGAGAACCAAAACTCAACAACAATAATCTATTAAAAAAAAAAGACAGAATAATACAATAAAAAGCCTAACTTTAGAGCCAACTAGAATGAATTTAATCATAAGTAGCTCTGCAAGGACAGAAGCTGGCTTCTATGTATAGCATAAATAAGCCAGAGCTACTTAGACCCATTCAGCCATTAACATTTTTGAGTGTCTGGCTCATTTAAGCAGCAAGAAGCACTATAATCTCTACACCTTAGCAATACAGCTGGCCAAGCTTCTGTAAAAGGACCCAAGTACAGAACTTCCCAAAATAAAAAAAAATTTCAGGCAAGTGAAGAAAAACACCACAAATATCTCATTACTAATAGAGAATTAGTAAGGTAGTGATTATTATATTTAAAATACCTTAAAACAACACAAAACAAAGTCATAAATATATTCATGTCCACAAGGCAGGAACACTTTCTGAAGATTACTATTACAGAATTATCTTAATAGTACAATAATTCACATTTTATTTCTTTATAAACTATAGGTTGCAATTAAGTCCCTATTAACCCCAGTATGTGAAATTGAGAAAATCTGAAAAATAAAAAATTAAAATTGAACTCACTCATCATAGACAGCTTTCAGCTGCTGAGACAAAGATAAATTCCTGGTTGCCAAAAAGCTGGCCATCTCTGCAGTTATAACAGCAGCACTGACACCATCTTTATCCAGAACAGCAGGACAGCACATATACCCTAAACAAGGAACATTAGTTATAATTAGACACATTTTAACAGGAAATGGGAAGAGGAGGGAAGGTTAGCCAAACATCTTTGAAAGGAGAAACGCACATTACCACAGTACAGACATTTTAGAGTCAAATCAAAAGCAGAAAAAAATGTATTTTCTAATCAGTGTTAATTTTATTAAGCAAGGTATTCAATGGAATTTCAAGACAGAGTTTTATCATATCATCAGCATCATATCAGTGTCACATGCTCCCAGGTTCTTAAGGAGCTTTCTAAAGAAATGCATATTACCATAGTACAGATATTTTAGAGTCAAACCAAAAGCAGAAAAAATGTATCTTCTAATCAGTGTTAATTTTAATAAGGTATTCAATGGAATTTCAAGACAGAGTTTTATCATATCATCAGCATCATATCAGTGTCACATGCTCCCAGGTTCTTAAGGAGCTTTCTAGAAAGAGAAATGCCACACTGCAGGAACAACGCAAGTATAGCATTGTCTCAAATGTGATTACCTTATTCGGTGGTGTAAGGTAACACAGATAACCATGTGTGAAATTATCCACATTTTCTCTGTTTTTCAGGTATTGAGATACTCAAAGAGCATTAGAGATTTACAATTCCCTCCTCATGAATTCATAACTTTCATTTGTGGCTTTCAACCATGGCTTTTCAGTTCACAAATGTAATTTGGGGTAGTTTTTAATTTATTTTATTCTCATTTACACTGAACTTAAACCTGTCAGGCAAAAAAGCTCAAGTTCATGTCTGAAAAAAGGCGTTTGTTTCTTTTGTTTAAAAGAACTTTATGCAGAATTTGGAGTCCAAATCTGCATAGCCATGCTACAGCCATGCTGCAGATAGATACTCCTAGTTCACAAACTTTGTGCTAAGCAGAAATACAAAGGTTTTAAAAACTAGTATCAATTAGCCAAACAGATTATCTGTTTATCTGAATTATCTGTTACTCACTGGAAATACACCCATGGTATTGAAAACACCCTTTTGTTGCCATTTTTACTTTTTTTACATTTTACTTCATTACTGGGACACTGGCAAAGGCTGCCCTGAGAAATTGTAGAATATCCTTCCTACGTTTTACTTCATTACTGGGACACTAACAGAGCACTGGCAAAGGCTGCCCTGAGAAATTGTACAATATCCTTCCCTGGAGACATTAAAGAACCATCTGGGTTCAATCCTGTGTAACATGCACTAGGACACCCTGCTTGAGCAGGAAGATTGGACAAAATGACCTCCAACAGTCCCTTCACAGAATCTCACCCATTCTGTGACTCTCTGCAATTCCGTTACTTATTGCAGTAGCTCTATTTTCACTATTTTGCAAGATATGAAAACATAACATTCTTCTCTTACCTATAGCCTCCTCAAATGCAAAAAGAACAGCTTTCCCCTGGTCCATGAGCTGTTTGGCACGGTTGCCCATCCACTTGAAACCTGTCAGAGTTTCCTAGAGCAGCAAGAAGAAATCAAAGGCATTAAAAAGAAAAGCAATGTTTTATGAACATATGACACTTTGTAGGAAAGATACTAAAAGCACATGGAATAATGTGCAACATGTTGCTTACCTCAAAGTGAAAACCTTCCTTTAGTGCAATTGCTCTCAGGATTTTGGAAGAAACAGTACTGGATAACATGTAAACATCTTTAATGGCACGAGTATCCCTACTGTTATTCTTCCAGCAAGTGAAGATCCACCAGCCTAAAAGAGCTCCTAGTTCATTTCCAGAAAACACTTTCCATTCACCACTACAGGCAAAAAGTAGATTAGAAAGTACATGAAATCAAAGGATAATACTGGGCTAAAAAAGAATCTATTGGCTCTTCTATAAATGAATTTTAACAAATAGACCACTGCTTGGAATTCCATGTAACAGTAACAAGGTATCACATGTTCATGATGAACAAACAAAAAAATTCCTCCCCCAAAGTAATCTGAAACTGTTACCTTTCTTCTCCATCATACACATAAGCTTTTGCAGTTATCCAAAGATGAAACATATTCTAAGAACAAAAATGTTCAGCATACAAATTATAAACTCAGTGACTAAGACAAGCACAGAGACACAAAAACCAGTTCTCAAGTGATCAGTATTTTTAGTTGACCTAGTGACAAATACTTTTAATTTAATCACAAATACATCAATTAGTCATTGGGAAGATTGGAAAAAAATCTTAAATGGGTATAAAATATTAATATTGATGTGTTGCTAGAACAGGAAAAAAATGAAGAAAAAAAAGAAAGACAGATGTCAAAATTGCCAAAAAAATTCCCAGTCACAAAAGGGGACAGAGACACTTCCAGACTGACAAAACCAAGACCTACAGAAACAGTACCTGTTGTGAAAGAGAAGCAGACTCAGTCTCCTGCATTTATTGATGCCAACAGGCACAAAGCAATGCACAGCAGCAACTTAGTGTAAGAGTGCTGAGAGAGTGTGCTCTACAGGAGGTTCTGTCAAAGAAGAAGTACAGATACTGTAGAAGCCTATATTAATATCTGATTAGTGTATGAAAAGCTACAGCAGAAGTCTGAGAAGACACAGGACTGGAAGTTAGGAGACAACTAAGACTGGCTAAACAACGAGCGTAGAGGCAGCAGAATGAGAGCCCCACACTCTCACTGGTAATGGATGCAGTAAACTAACACCCCTCTTCAAGTTTCTGGTAGCTCAAAGTTTTCAGACAAAAAGCATGAGTGATTTTGCATTCTTGTTTTAACCCATCATAACTAGCATAATCTGAAACTCATTATACCTTTTTGTAAATGCTGAATTGCCAACTGAGGCAGACACAGACCACAACCACTGAAATAAGAACCTTCCAACTAACACTCTCCAAGATACAGCAGTGTCCACAAAAAACCATTCTTCTTCCAAAGGCAGAGAAACCTCCTTAGTTCATGCTGTGAGGCTAATGAATTTAAAAGCACCCCAAAACCCCAAAGAAAACACTGCCACTTTTAAAGCTAGCTTTTTTGGTTATGTGTTGAGCAAAATGGGTATTTGCACTATCTCCTTTAACTGGACTTTTGAAATTTGTCTAACTGATACAGATTCAACTATTTAATACATCCACAACCACTGAGGACATCTAGCAGATGCCCATATCATCCCTTGGGTACCAAAACTGTTGCCATAATTTTACATCCCTCTTCTGTCCCTCATGCACAGGGAATTCATATATGCTGGCCCAGCAGCACATTTTTTTTCTGCTCCTCTCTAAGCTGAAAACCTTGAAGCTTATTTTTACTGAGGATTTATAGCTTATAACTGCTCAGATTAGTTTCTGCTTTATCAAGGTAGATAAAGGAGAAACACCAGTATTTGTAGATACGATACCAAGTGCTTGAACTTCAGCTTTCTTTTATTGATCAGATAAAACCACAATACAGAAATGCAAACAATTGTAGAAGTACAGGATATCAGAGGGCACGAAATCAGGGGACAGCTATATTGAGTCAGAACTATAAGTTACATTTCACAAATATGAACAATTTATGGTAAGTATGGTAAGCCCTTGACTGAGCAAGTCTGCCTGTTGTGATCCCCTTGTAGACTGGGTATGCAAAGATAAATACTGCACATGTAGGTGGGTCTTGAAGGGGAGAGTACAAATGACTACACCAAGATGTACGGAAAAACTTTAAGGTGAAATGTAAATACATAACACTATGTAAAGAAGTGGGAAACTGAGCAAGAGAAGCACAAATCATTTAATGATTAGTAAAATGTTTGGTTTAACAGGATTTGAGAAAGAAGATACCCATACTACAGAGCAAGAGATTATCAGGGAGCTATACATATTCTCCTGAATCCAAGTTACTTTTTAATAAATCTAGAATGAAAAAAATGTTTATCAGTCGTACGCGAAAAAATCTAACTGAACACCTACCTTTGAAAAAGTATAGCACAATAACAATTCACATGCTTCTGTGCATGCCTGAACTACAGCAAATATCAACTATTTATTCAGGGTTCTGTACACTGTCTAATATTGATCATTATTTCATATCCTGCCTCTACTGTAGTCTGCTTCATACAGTCTTCTCACATTTCTGTATGTTTTCAATAAAAAAAATTATTACTGTGACTATTCTTCTTCTGCAACACAAGTAGCAAGAATTCTCCAAATGAGCCTAACCTTGGGAGTAAAAAATGTCAATGGTTTGCATTACTTTATTACCATACCTCTCTTGTTTCTCTGCCACTGCCAGTCGATCAGCATCAGGATCATTTGCTAAAATGATTCTTGCCCCATCTTTTTCAGCCAAAGCAAAAGACAATGTCTGGAAATGTGGCAAGCAGGACCAGATGAGTGTTAATATTCCCAAATATTTTCACTTTCTTTATAGGTTTTAAGTAATTTTCCCAATTTTTTGAATCTCAAACACCTGAAATCATTACGTGTATCTCAAAAAACCCAAAAACTTCTAGCCTGGTAGCAGAAGAACATAGTCAGGACATTTAACTTTACCTACATCATTCCACTTCTGTAGCCCAAATTAAAAGCTACCTAGATTTAAGAGGATCCTTCAATAACAAAGTGTAACAGAAATAGTAGCAGAAACTCTAACACCTATCAGGACTTCTCCTGTCCCCTCCTGGTGTGCTGTCAGAACAAAAGAGTTCCTTCCAAAAGAAAATGAGAAGATTTTTATTGTTATTTTATTTTTTAAAATTAACTATCACTTTGTCCCATCAGCAGATCCTGCCCATTCTGTTAGAGCACAGAACAAAGTAGCTGAAAGTTATAGCTAATTACTACCTGACTGGTTCAAAGAGGGTTATGTCAATGAAAGGATACCAGCTAACTCTTCACTAAATGTAAGGCTATGAAACAGATTAAAAATTGACATTCCACCAATATCTACAGGTGTGACTTTTGGCAAAAAGGAAAACACTGAAAGACATCACAGCTGTTAAAAAAAATTAAATCTATTTACCAGAACACCTTTGCCTTCTTCAGGATTTGGATACTTCACTGTGGGAAAGTCTGGATCAGGATCTTTCTGCTCCGGAACAGCAAAAGGAGGGCTAAGGTCAAATGCCTTGAATGCCAACTGCACAAATTTATGTCCTACGCCATGCACAGAAGTATGAACAAATTTCAGGTTTGTTTCCTTGTTTATATTCCTGAAATAAAACAGGTTAACAGTAAACTTGGACACAGAAGACCTGACTATGTTTGGAAACAGTATTTTATGTCACTGTTAAAATAATGAATTAAAGGAGATCAGATTTTAAAAGCAATGGCTTGAAAATTGGCTTAGCCTAATTTTTCAACAATATGAGTCATTCTTGGCATCCAGTATCCTAGCATGTGCAAATCACTGGAGTAATAAAGACAGTACAGTCTACACAGCCCAAAGAAGTCAAACGAAAAACAAATACAACTGACTAAAGAGATTCTTCATCCCCAACTCTAGCATTTAAACCTGAGAACACAGCCTGCCCAATTTGAGCACACTCATTTTAAGGAAGTAAAAAGTGTTGGGCATACCTAAAATCATGCAAACTCCTAGGGAGACATTTAATTCCAGCTCTGAAAAATCAGTGTAATAGGCCCAGCTTTCTAGTAACTCCTGACTGTTTTTAGCAAGAGGCAGAACATGGTTACTGGTGGTCAAAACTTCTACACAAAATAAGCAGATCTAAAAGGTTGATACTCATCTACTACATAAATCAATTCTAACTGTTCACCAAGAGAAACATTCACTTCATTTTGCTGAGTAAAGATTTTACTGAGCATGTGATAGGAGTAGGCTGTTGTAAGGCACTCAAGACTACGAGGAGCAAAAGCAAGGCTGGAATGACAGAGCCAAGGCCTTCTTGTCCAGAACTGGCTTAACAACCTGCCTCACTGTCTCTGAGAATCTTGTTTTGAGGTTGGTGGGCTGTCCATGCCAGCTCACCCACAGCAGCCCCAGTCTTGCTGTGACACTTGGCTGATGCATGGCCATGAAAATACAGGGAGCTATCATCAGAAATTTGCTCACTTTGCTGGGTTAGACTTCTGCCAGGACAGTTTTATTAACTGGATCATGACACCACCACACAGCTGCCAGCACAACCCCAAAAGATGACAAAAAGGCACAGGCAGAACAGGGTCATGGCAGGATTGTGGCCACGCTCACTTCCATCAGTTTAAGCTGCCCTGCTAAAATACTAGATGGAATATCCTTATTCTTAAAGGAATTAACATTAGTCACCTGTAAAAGCACTGTTTCTGTATGTCTTTGAAATACTCCTTATTGACCATGGCATATGGATCATGAAGCAGCGGGCTGCTGTCAATCAGTTTGTCATCCCAAGCCTGAGGCCATGGTTCTTGGTTCTCCTCAATAGCCTGAGAAATTCCTTTATCATGAGGGGAAATGATCTGAGCACCATTTTCCCAGTAAACCTAAATAAAAAACAGGTAAGTGAGTATTTGATCATTAATCTTGTAAGACAGTTTTGTTACATTTTTTGTTGGTTAAGGTGCAGTAAATTAACTAGAGTATTACAGTAAATTAGGCTTAGGTATATCCAAAGTATTCTGTTCATCTTCTCAGCATTTCTTCTCACATCCCATTTTTATTCTATTAAAAACTCCAGTTTAATCTTATCAAAAGATATCAGGATCCATAATGAAACACAAAACAATACCCAATCACTTATTGAGAAAAATTCCATTTTTGTATTTTGGAAACAGTCTGTACATGACTGCCAAGCTACTGAATGAGTGGTGCACAGGTAATTCTGCTGTGGTTTTTTTTCAGTGGGTAGCAGATTACAATGGCATCCTGCCTTCTAGAGTGAAGATTCTAATTATATTATTAGTTTAACATGATACTAGTTTTAAATACGCAGTAGAGATAGAGAGACTTGCAATTAATTTAGTCTATACCATGATAGGAACTATATCAATTGCATTTAGTTTCTCCACATGGAAAAAAGAGCCAGAAAATAGATCACATTAGAATACCTTGTAACCATTGTCTTGTTTTGGATTATGGGAAGCAGTAACCATAATTCCAGCACAAAGCTTCAGATGAGTTACTGTGTATGGCTGTAACAAGAAAAAGTTACTTGAAGTAGAATGTGTCACATATCGTATATTATTTCTTCTCATGCATATATAATACTTCACAGTATGAAAACAAAGTCAAGATGTGATTCCTACACACGGACTCCCTAAAGCAGAAGCTAAACAGTACTTGTTCCACCAGACTCATGTGGCACAACTTTAGCCCTTGTTTTTTCTTGCGCATTTTTCCATTTATATGCTATTAATGTTCCAGATTCACTTTGTGAATCTCTAGTGCCTTTCTAGAAGGAAGCCAGATGCATGTGTTCCTTACTGTGGAACGACTTGAGGTACCTGAGGCCTTAGAGGCTGCCAAGTCTGTTGGGTAATGACACAAGTCAGCACAGAGAGTCAGGGCAGAGAACTTGCAGCTCAAGCAGTCTCATCCACACTGTCTTTTGGGAGCAGCCTGGGGAGCAGCTACTCCATCAGGGTTCAGAAGATAATTGTTTTGGAGAGAACTCTTATAAATTAGCTCAAAACAGATGGAGCGAATTAAAAATGAAGCATTATTCATGAATACATGTCCAATTTGTGTTTACTCCTGGGTCTTTGTTTAATAGTGAAATGCAATCAACTGCAGTTCTTGCAACACCACTTTAAGCTGCACTATGAAGAATTTGACCCTAAATCTAAAAAAAATTGTATCAGTATAAGAATGGTATGTAGCAAGTCTTTATATTACTGTGTTCTGTTTGCAATGCTCACTGGAGCAACTGGCACATGGAGAAATGATTGCTTTTAGGACAAGGGCCTAGAGCAGGGCTTTTCTGTGCTGTTCTGGAGACACCTGGTGTTCTGATGGGGGCATCGTGGACACAATCCAACAACCCTTCTGGCAAAACATCACTGCACTCCAACAACTTGCTATTTTGGATTCAATGCCTGCCCTTGCCCCTCATCCCCAAAAAAAAAAAAAACATCCAGCCAAATGTATGTTTCAGACTTCAGACTCCACAGCTCCACAGCAATCTGCTGACATTCCACATTCTCTCTTCTTTTCCTATGGATGTTGTAAACTATAAATAGCTAAATAAATACAAGACTCCCTGCAGGAAGAGCTTAAAAAGTAAGAACTGGTTTGTGTAGTTATCCTTAATTTAAGTAATGCGAGATATCTTATGGTATTTGTGTACATTTCAAGCAGATAAAAAGATATAATAAAAAACCTACCACGAAAGGAGTTGGTATTATGTCAGAGAATAGATAAACTGGAACTCCCTGACTGATGAAGGTATTGGCAGCAAGTCTTGCAAACCTAAACAGGAAGAAAAGATACCATGGGAATATATTAATTTTCTTGCCTATTAGTTTCCTAGAATTCACAGCTTTCCCTCCTACTCTAATGCAATTACAAAATCCCAGCAAAAACACCATCACTTACCAATATATCTCAATTATTGTACAGACCCAATTTAAATGTGTTCCCTCATTATTCCCAATAGACAAAGCACAACTCAAAGAACTGCTCTGGCATTACCAGTATGTAAGAATACTGTAAATCCCACATATTAATGCACTTTACAGAAAGAAAATACAATTGAAGTAGATATAAATCCATCATGGATCACACAAGGTATCTACAAAATACTAAACACAAAACCTAAGAAGTACCTTTTGCTACTACCTCCACTGGAAAGATGAGCACGAGCATCAAACCCAATCACAACTCCTCTCTTTTTCAGGTCACTGAAATTCTTCTCAAGGTATCTGCAAAATCCCTTAAGACAACAACAAACATTACATAAACAACAACCTCATTAACCCAATCTTGATGTTTAATTTACCATCACATTAAGATAATTGCTACAATGTTGATGTCTTAGGAAGCTAAGCACACATAGCATCTCACTGAACTGCTCTGGGATTCAGCTTCACTCCAGGACCAATCAAAAACCTTCAAATCAATATTGCATACCTGGGCAGCATTTAAGTACTTTTTAAAATATCAGAATCAACTCCAAAAAGGTAATACAATTAGTCTGAATTGCAGATTTTGAGAAATTATTCAGCTGTCATAGGTCTCACATGAGGAAGAGGACAGCTGGCCAGTGTTTCAAGTTTTCAAATCTCACTCTTAATAATGGCATCTCTTTAGCACATGATACATCACCACTCCAGGCTGCAGTTATTCAAGGTTGTGGGTTTTTCCCCAAGAAGATCTACTTTAGGATCCACGTATGTATACATACCTTCACTGCACGTAAAACCATGTCTAGCACATGCAAAGCTTAATCAAATGTTGGCTACCTTTGGGGTTTTTTTGTAGCTGTTACAACAGTGCTAACTGTTACACTTGAACTTAACAGCAGCTGTGTATAAATTAAATTGCAAATCAAATGCGGAAAGTAACTTCTTTTAATGGTTTAACAGCTTCTCTCTGCTTGTTTTCAGAGACCAGCACTCAGCTAATAATTATAATTTAAATTACTTCTGAAAACTGGAAGAATAGGAGAGAACTTGTACTTCCATAGAATACTCATTTGCTTGCCACAAATCAGGCTCTTCCATTCATCTACACAACCAGTTAAGTGAGATAAAGTGCTGAACACAATACCTGGGTTGTCTGGATAATAGTCAAGTCATTCATGTGGGAAATCCCTGCTCCCATGGCAGCTCTGAGCCCTGCTGTGCCAAACTCCATCCTCGAGCCAAAGTATTTCTGCAGTTCTTCAGCATTTCCTTCCGCAAGCAATTGTTTCACGATTGCGTAAGTTTTTGGATTCTGTTGACACAAAATTCAGACATTCTAAAGGAGGTTTTGTTCATTTTAACAGAAGTGACTTTCTGTCCCAATCTCTGGGTTTCAGTATCAAAACATGGCACACAATTTCAAGAACTCGTGCTGTCTTCTTAATTTTAAATCAGCACAACCTCAAGTATTACTTGCCTTAGATTTATCTCCTTAAGTGAGCATGCTACCTGGACAGCAGTGTGTGTTTGTGTATATATATCTCTCACAAACTGGGATGTTAAAAAGACTTCCAAGATGTCTATTTTAATGTTTTCTATTTTTAAAAACAAAACTAACAAAAAGCAGCACTTTCACAGTTCAGAGAATTTTTCCTCATCACAACACAAGAACTACACTAAACATTTAAGAAAGTAAGGTAAGCTGTAATATTTTTTATTTCTATAGCACTATATGTAGAGTTTAAAACAAATGAAATCATAACCTTGTCCCAAGACTGGGTAGCACCAGAGGTAGCAGCAAAACTAGGCAGACTGGGCAGAAGATAATTTCCAACATGTTTGCAGGTAACGCTTGTAAAAATAAACATAACCCCAGGACGAAAGCCTAGAAACTACAACCAAATTCTTAAATAAAATTACTTGAGAGTGGCAACAAAAAGGCCATGTCAGACCTTGACAACAGTGAGGAGATTCTAACTTTCACTGCTTTTCTTGATATATTGTTTCCACAAATTCTCTATTGTTAATTACTCTTTTTGTTTCCAGACTTAGGGAATTAGCAAAGTCCTGTATGCCTCAACTTCTTAACGTTATAACATGAGACTTGCAAAGTTCCAGTATTTGATTTCTTGAGAACGCAGGAGACAAGAGGACAGATGGCAGGTGGCAGATTCCTGACAACAAGATTATCTGAGAGGCAGCAGGTTACTCACTGCATGAGTACACACACTTTACTCTGGAGTACAAAGATTCTCATTTCCAAAGGGACACAAACTTTGATTTCTAGGCAATTAAATGAACTCATAATAGTCACAGACTTTACTATTTCCTGGATGACCAAGGCATGCTTACAGCAAGGGAAAGCATATCATTCTAGGCAAAAAAGGTAAAAAAATTAAATGTAAAACCATGTATCTTCTGCAGCTTCAGAAAATGCTGCAAAGACACAGAGCAGTAGGCATGTGAGTAAGTTTGCATACAAAGGTATAAACATTCTGCACATCAAACAATGACCAGAGTCAGGATGTCCTAACCACTGACCTGTGCACCCACTGCCACAGGACAAACAACATAGTTTAATTACATACTGAAAAAGCTAAAGAGCCTTTAGTACTAATGAGCATATTGCATAATGAAGAATAAAATAAAGAATTAAAAAAAAAATCCAGCTTCTTGAGCACAATAAACAACTAGGTACCTCAGAATTACTGATTTCCAGTGCAAAAATTACCAATTTACCAGTCCAAGAATGTTGTAACTGACACTTCCTTGCAGGCAGCTTGACACAATTATCTATTATTAGTGGGTAATTACACTCTGTAGGAGTAACTATAATTCTATGTTGTTATAGAATATATAGGGCAGCATAACTGAGTTTAGGCTGTTTACAAGTTGATGTCAAGTTTTTGCTGTAACATCAGGCCTGTGTCTCAAAAGTAAAGCCCAGATGACACCATTTGCATCCAGTTTTGTACACTGCCTAATCACCTTTTAATTTCTCTGTGTGAGCTTTGTGCACACAAGTCATCTCTTAGTACTGAAAAGAGCATGTTTTTAGGTAGATACCACACACATTTCTACAGGTGTTTGACAGACCAGAAGCTGCAATGCCAATGCAGAAGGACATCAGGAGCATCCTGCAGCTCTAACAGCCAAGGAGTTTTTTGTTTGTTGTTAGTTTAGTTTCCCAGGTCTGGTATGTACTGTGAAACTAGAAGGATCCTCCAGTTTTCAAGTCTGGTTAAATGTACATGTCCAGGTGGCTGCTCAAGTCTTAAGAGTTTCAGTCCATATAGTTTACTAAAGAAAACTTGGTTGCATTAACTGAGTTGCTCCCCACTGCCTGCCTCCATCCCACACCAAACAATGGTAAAAGCCAGGCCAAGCCTGTTCAATATGGTAGAAGGATTTTTCCAGAACTACTGTTATAATTGTTTATGGCTATTTTCTCCTAGGAACTTGCCTATTTTTGCTTTTGTGGAGAACATTATGATGCCATTGTACACAGCTAAGTAAAAAACTAATCTTGGTTTTGGCTTTTTCTTCTGCTTAAACAAACTCCTCATAGCGTCTCTACCAAAGAAGGACCAAATTGTATCAGAAGGACGAAATGCTGGCTTTCTCCTTTCTAATTGATTCTCTCAGGTTACGCTTTTTCTGCTCTCAAATTAAACCAGATATGAATATGGGAGTACCATTTTCTGTGAATACAGTGGCAGATGATTTAATACCAAGATAATAACCACTAGTGCAATTAGCTTGGACATCACCTGGTAACACTCGAGTTATTTACTTTAATCTACACTACAGGAAGGCCCAAAGAGTTATCATCAGTAGAGGAGTCCCCACAAGGTTTTACAGGAGAGGAGAAACTTCTGACTAAACAGATTTTATTTTTACTAAAACCAGAAGCTATCTTCCATTCATAATTCTATGACTGATAATAGAAAGAATAACAAATATGTTATTCCTGTAATGAACAGAGTGATGAAAACAACCTGGTAATGAGCACAGTAATTGTCATGTAGGTAAAACTTCCAGTTAGGTCAGCAGGACTGCCATCAGCCATAAGGGCTTGCTCTTGCAGACGATTATTTTGTAAGAAACATGGCGCTTATCATCATTAAATATTAACCCATCTCCACATGTCAAAAAGGAACTTTTTTTTTATATCAGAGTAAATGGACAAGGGTTACACCTGATTCTTCTGTTGCTCAATAGAAACATGCAACAGCTCCGTGAGAAATTAAAATACCTCATCATTTTTGAGCAATCATCAATGGGTATTGCACACTAGTCAATCATTACTGAGTCAAAGATGCAAGTTCTAACAGAGGGCTAAACTTCCAAGAGTAAAGATGCTATAAGGGATACTGCATTATATTTCCAGAGGGTTTAACAAAATAATCAGAATAACCAGTTAAAAAGCAAATTATTACACAGAAGACAGGAATACAACTAATGCTGGTCAGGGAAGCTATGTAAATAAGAGGCTCTAAAACCAAACTATTTTCTCAAATTTAATTAAACTAGGAAAAAAAGGCACAAAAGCTCATTTGACGTGATGCATTAGCATTTCTGAAAAAAGGACTAGTTTGTCACTGCTGTATCACTAATAAAACCAGAACTGGGTAACTGGTCGGTTAAACAGTTTACTGATTTTACTGAAGAATCACAAGAAGCTCGAGGTACTTCTAATGACACCCTTTAGAACCTGGAAAGAATACTAAAAAAGAGAATTATTATATGCTTCCACTGCTATTTTTGAAATAAGCAGAAGATGCCTCACCAAACAGGTATGTGTGCTGCACAAAACCAGAGAGCATTGCCGAGTGCTCAGCTCGGGGGGAGTCCATTAGTGACTGAAGGAGGGCAATGGCCAGTCCAATACAGACAAATGAACAAATTATATTTAAAGGGACATTAAAAATGCAAACCAAATGTGCCAATAGAGGCCTGCATCTCAGTGGAACCTGCAGCAGCAAGCAACTACATGACCATTTCCAGAACACTACTATGGCAAGATATCTCTTTAGGTATGTGGGAAACAGAAACAGACAGAAGATTCTACTTCTGCATATAGTGCTGTCAAAACCAAAGATAGGCATCAACAGAAAGGGAAATAACACCTGAAAAATACAGGACTGAGAGCTTCTGCATTTCCAAGTGTTTTTGAAAGGAGCCCCCATGTCTTTTGGGATCAATATTTTAGTAAACAAGAATTTGAAGGTACCAGGAGGTTTTTAACACTGAGAGACAGGTAACACGGCAAAGTATGCTGGTCTTGAGTAATTTAAGTCTACCAACTGCCCTGCGACTGAGGCGGTTCGGAACAATACAGGCCCTTTTGAAAACGACGTTCAGTACAGCTGAACGCCCGACTGAGAGACCAGCCGGGACGGTTCTGAACGGCAGGTGACGGAGCCGCAGCACCGGGGGGCCCGCAACCCCACCTGCGCCAGCCCCGCCGCGGGGCGGGAGGGGATGGGTGGAGGGGGAGCGTCCCTTTGTCAGAGAGCTCTGAAAGCAGAGCCGAAGGAGCAAACAGGTGCTTTTACCGCACCCCGACCCGGTACAATGCAACAGCCGGGCGTCACGCCTCCTGACCCTGCGCCCCCATCGCCCCCCGCCCAGCCCGCGCCTGGCGGGAGCCGCGCCCCTCACCTTATCCCAGAGCAGCCACTGCTCGGCCGCGCGGCGCAGCGCGCCATCCGCCGCGGAGCCCCGCGCTGCCATCCCGCCGCACGCCAGCTGCCACCGCCGCTCCGCTCCGCTCCTTCCCTCTTCCGGAGCGCGCCCGCCCCGCTCCGCTCCGCTCCGCTCCGCCCGCCGGGCCCGCCCGGGCCGTCCCACCTCCGCCCCGCCCGCCTGCCCGGGCCGGGGTCAGGGCCGGGGCCAGGGCTGAGGCCACGGCCGGACAGGGCGGCCCCGCCTCCGTCCTGCCCGCCGCGGCTGCCTCGGGGCCCTCGCTTAGATTCGGGGTTTAATAATTTATTTTCCCGGGGCGCTGAGTGTTGTCAGGCGGGGCTGCGGCTGCCGGCCCGGCGGAGCCCCGCGCAGCCCCTGGCCCCGGCCCTCGCACTGCGCCGAACGGAGGAGGAGGAGCGTTCCCGAATAACTGCGGGAAATCAGCGGTGGAGACAGCCGCCTCCTCCGCAGCATGGCTGACGGAAGAAAATAACGCTGTTAGAAGTGTCACATTCCATGGGCTAAGGCGACTGAGATTCCTTTTTTTTATAGCCAAGGTAAATGAGGAATGAACTCAGGAGCCCTCTAATTTAGAATAAAGATTATAACTAGATGATCTTTAAGGTCCTTTCTGACCCAAAACATGGTATGATTCTAAAATTTTCAAAGAAATAATGACTTGTACAGATACTTGGAAACCTTTTAAAGTTGATTAGTACATTACCAGAATGCATGTGAACAAGAGAAATGCTACATCAATTGCAAAATGTTAATGCACATCCTTCTGATATTCACTACTGATCAGTGAAATAATTGTTATGATACCCTTACAGAAAAACTGTTCAGATGAAACATCAGAGGAACCAAAGAATAAGAAAATCAGAAAAAATTATGCTGTTTGGCCACTTTTCTAACCATCTGTTTTCTCTGTTGTTTTGATAATGGTCATTTAACCCAGCTCCTCTGGCCTCTGCACCTCTCTGGCTGAACACAAATCTGACCTCAGCTGCAAAATTAGAAAAAACCCAAAGCAACTGAATTTCACTCGGAAAATGGATTGTGTTCCTTCTGCTGGAATTAAATAACAGGTTAATATGGCTTTGATTGAATAATTATTATAGCTTATAGCATGGAGGCTTTGAGAGAAGCCTGAGCTGCCAAGCTGCTGCTCTGTCTAAGCAGTTCCTATAACTAAGCTTGTGTTTTGACTAAAATCCCTTGAAGATGCCATGATAAGCCCCTCTATCCTGGTTGATTTCTTACAATTTTTTGGGCATACAGTCCAGAGAGCACTGAACCGTCTTTCTTGCCTAACAAGATTTCTGTCATCAACTTCCCAAAGTACTAAGGGAAATAGCAGTGCTCTGGAGCTTCAGGGCAAGGTGTTCTGGAGGTTTTTCCTATATTTTATCAGCCTTTATGTGAAGCTGGGCTAGACCAGGTGATGCACATCTGCAGGGAGTGACTGGAATTTCCCTGTGTAACGCTGCAGCACAGGCCAAGGTAGGGGAAGATCCCTGAGAGTGGTGCAGAAGCAGAGCTGTGTTGCAGGTGTTCTGAGGCTGCTGAGAAATGTGAGGTCACTGTGAAGGTGCTATACAGGAGGAGCAGGTTAATTTGCCAGGGGTGCCAAGTCCTGAATCTGAACTCTTGGCGCTTTCCATCAGTGGTTCAATGGGAGTAATTGGAGCATCCCTTTTCCCCCAAGTTTAGAGGATGGGGAAAATGAGGAAGGGACTGGCCTTGTGGAAATGTCACTGAACTTCTACATGCTGATCAAAGGCAGGAGAGAAGTAATCACAGGAAAAAAGTAAGATTTGCTTATGTTAAGAATGATACAGCCACTACAACACTGACTTTGTAAAGCACCATAACAAAGTACTGCCACTGACTCAACTGAAGGAGGTGACAGATTAATGGAACATGTCCTCTTTCCCTTGAATGCCTGAGGCTGGCTATAAATCAAGCAAGTTTTCTTCAGGATGGATCAAAATGGTTATCAGGATCCATTACAGTATAGGCTCAGCTGTGTCACAGAAAAACACTTTGGAAGTTCTTGTCTAATACCTTTTGGGACTGCTCTGAGCAGAGTGGCCAGAACCATGCAAGTTGCAAAGTGCCACAGTCCTGAAAACTTCATGATCTAATGACACCAGAGGAGGCTGAAAATGAAACAATAGCCAACTGCTGCCCGCAGCTGCTGTGATGAACACAGTTTTTCATTAAAATGATACAGTGTAAATTATTTCAAAATACTACATAACTTAACAATAAGATCCTTCCTAGTGATTCTTTCAAAAAGTGAATTTCCAAGAAAGAATTCAAAACCCAACAGTATTTCATAAGAAGCCCTGGATACTAAGTTGGAGAAAAAATGGTTGACTACATGTTAAAAATCAGCTAAAACTGAGACATAAAAGATGAAGGGTTTTTCCTTTTTTTTCTCCCCCCAGCTGTTACCAAACCCAGGTGAAACTGACAAAATAAAACTTAAAAAATCCATTCAAGAAACAAAGTAAGTTTGCTGACTTTATACTCTTTTTAGGAACTTAAAATACTGTGTCTAATTTTAATTTGGATCTTCTTCAGAACAGGCGGAATCCTTACTAAATTCACATTAATGCTAGAATTTCAGAGTGGGGTACCTTGTGGGGTACCTAAAGCATCCCTCTCTGAGTGGAGACCTCCACTTTTCTGAAGTGAAACGTTTCAATGAATACTGAATGCTATAACTTGAGCTCAGTGTGGCTGCAGCTGCAGTGTGGCTTTTCACACCAAGTATGAACTAAATGGCATTTGTCTGTTAGCTCTCTTAGGCTTTAGCCTTAGCACCACAGCACCAAATTGCTTTATTTAACTCTCAGATAGGAAGAGCAATGAATGCATTAATGGTGCTCATCAGGATCTTCAGGCAAGTTTTGATTTTTATGTTATCTGCAACTATTCGTTGTACAGAGGGATTTTACCAATGTAGATAAATACCTGAAGGGAGGATGCAAAGGAGAAAAAGAGCCAGGCCCTTTTCAGTGGTGCTCACTGACAGGACAAGAGGTACAAACTGAAACAGAGGAGGTTCGAGGTGAACATTAGGAAATACTTTTTCACTGTGATGGCGACTGAGCACTGACAGAGTTTGCTTAAGGAGGTTTTGGAGTCTTCATCCTTGGAAATACGTAAAAGCCATCTGGACATGGTTTTGGGCAGGTGGGTCTTGAGCAAGGAAATTTGACCAAATGACCTCCAGAGATCTTGTCCAACCTCAACCATTCTGTGAATCTGAGATGTTGATACATTCTGTAATTCATGAGATGTTGTATGTTCTGGCAAGGAACCTAAATTTTTCATTGCTGACTTCTACAGTATTGTGATGCAGATGTAGAGAAAATTTGTGAAATGCTAACAGAAAATGAATGTCACAACCAGTGATATTTTCTTGTTGTATGTACAGATATTACATTTAAACACTTCTGCCCAGTTCCCCCATTTTCAGTATGCTTTTAGTGCATGATCATTCTCCATTTGCAGCCAGCTGGGGCATAACAATTGCTATTTGTGTCAGCTACAGAAATAAAAGGACTAAGGATTATAGAATAGTACTGATGACAAGTTAAAGTTAGCTTTAGGTTCTCAGAGCTTAGACTACATACTTGTCTTAGCTTCACTACTTTAAGCAGTCTGAAAATTTAAAGGTATTTTATTAGTTTTCACTTTCATCACTACCTTGAAATACTAGCAGGGGGCAGGAGAGAAAAAAGCTTTGATTCTACAGCACAGATTGACTGGGAAACTGTGGTGCACATTGCACATTTTAAAAAGCACATACAGCCCTCAGAAGAGGATGTTGTCTTAAATAAAGCACTGCTCTTGTAATCTGATGAGAGGTGAGGGGGAAGCAGGGGAAGAAAAGGAAGGATATGGTGGTTATTGTATTCATGGCTTGAATTTTAGTATTTGTTCTCCACTTCTGTTGTCTACCAGCTAACCCAAGGATGTGTCAGATTATTTTATGTTTCCTCTTTGAAATTTTTTCTCCATTGTTTATTCTAAGTTTCTTGTTCACAACTGAAAGTCTTTTATAATTTCCACTGATTGGCATAGACTCCTGATCTCAGTCAGGCAGATTAGTCAGGCAGATCAGTCGTCAGTCCTGATCTTAGTCAGGCAGATCTTGGATCCTGTGGCAGCAGGACTACTAAAACATGCTTTTTCTGTCTTGTTCTAGACTGCATTCAGTTTCAACGATAAGTTAACTTATGTTTGTTCAACACATAGGACAAAGTCAGAGCTAATGCCAGTTCTTTTCAAGTATATTTTGGACTGCTGCCCTTTTCTTACATCTTCTCTTTTAGTAAAGACCAAAAATACAAGCTGAAGTGAAAAATAAAATTAGTCTGATAAACACATGATCCTGAACTCACCCCTAGTGCAAATGATTTAAATTATGTTGTGACAAAAAAGAAACATTTGATGTTATATTTTCATGGAATCCAAGAGTAATATGCACAGTTTATTTTGATCCAATTCCTTTATGAGAGAAGTGAGTAGGGTGCATTATTTTCATATATGTTCTTCAGTTTGGTTGTGATTCAACTTTATTCCCTCCCTAGGGGAATATCTAACAGATATGGATATCAACTTTCTGGATATCTAACAGAATTACCAGGCCTACAACTTGACTTGAATAACACTGTGCTGTTACAGAAATGGGGTTGAGAGGGATTCTGACAGTTCTCTCACCCTGAGTAAAGGAAAGCTTTCCTTAACCAGGATTAGTTATCCAGAGTAAAAGTAAAAAAAATCGAAACTGGTTGCAGCATATACTGGAGAGATACTTGCCTTAACAACAAGTTATGAGGATTTTCATAACTTGTTATGAAAACATAGCAAGTTTCCCAAAAATGTTAAGCTTCTAAATCCAACTTTAGACTTCTAAGTAAGCTGTTTCTCGAAAGTGCTGAAGCTGCAGCAGTTCCCATTGAATGCTCAGGCTTGTAAATGCATGGCTGAGAGGCACGATGGCAGTATCAAAGGGGAGAGGCAGTTGCTTTAAAAAAACTGGCACAGTATGCTTTTATAATAT